TCATGCACTGTGATAAAACCCTATTTCTTATTTCCTTTGAAATCACCTAATGAGCATAAAAAATAAGCTGAAAATATTGTCACAGCTTTGTAAATAGGTAGTGCAATATATGATCCCATCCTTTGTTTGCCTATGCCTTTGTGGCAGTTCATTCTGAACTAGAGATGGACTGAATTTCACCACTTGTATATAATCTTTCCTTCACTATAAAGGTAAATGCTTGCACTGGCAAGGAAATGTATGGATGATGTACATTTTTTGAAGAATAAAGACAACTCTAATACATCTTTATTTTACATTGTTGCTTTGTCTTACATAACGTATCACAACACAATTATAGAAACCAAAAAGTGCCATAAACATTCTATACACTAAAACATGAATGGCAGCTAAATGGCTGCACATACAATTATTTACCAGTTATGGTAAACTGATTAATCAAAAAAACTGCAGCAAGGTTTTTGGAATGGTACTAAGCAATTCCATGATAGATTGATCAAAATCCATCACTAATATATTAAGTGACTCCTTTTTGGCTGTGGTCAGGATGAGGAATAGAATACAACATCAAAAAAATTGAAGTAATGAATTTTAAAAGATGTTATTCCTTAATCTTCAATCAGGGAAATTCAGTCATCTAATCTTGCAACATTCATATGTATATGAATGTTGCTTCTCAGCGAACTCCCAAGGCAGTACATGTTTGAGTAGGACTTCTTACGCATTCATTTCCTCTAACAAGTCATGTTCCATTACCAAAAGTCAGTTCTCTAGGGAAGCAAGTGAGTGAATGTTTGAACTATATCTGCATTGGAACTGGAACGTTTGAACATTCTCACTACCAGCCAGTCTATACTGTAGCAAGTGCTGGTAAATAAAGTTGCTTGAGTAATTCTGTGAATTCCCACAGGTTCATACTTTATGACAAAATAGAAATTACTCAAAGGGCCTAATTAGCCACAAAGCCCGAAACAGAGAATGTAAATCCCCACTTCATACTCAATATTGAATCTAAATCAGCTGATCATGAAAGAATTTTTAACCACTCACTATATCAAGCAAAATGTCAGAGCAAGATCATAGAACAGGCACTCCTAAAGTTGTATAATATCCAAACACCATCTTATTAAATGCAATCATCTGGGTCTTGTACTGAACATTTTTGCTTTGCTTGGCATTATCCAGAGCAGCATTACTATTTCTCCCAAATCTACTCAGGAGATGGTGTCAGTTGTTTGGAAAAGGGAGGTTTGGACAGCAATTGTATGTCAAGAACAGGTCAATGTTAGAAGTATTCTTATATGCTGAGATTTATGAGACTGGAATGGATCATACATTGCTTGCTTGAATCTTAGATACAGATTTATATAGAGAAATAAATGAAAATTCATTATTAGGTTGAATAAGTAACTATCTTTAACTTCTCACTTAAGTTTCTGAATGCAACAAATAGAAATGAACAGTAGCAGTTACTATGGATCAAGCTATAATGTATTAAATGATATGAACATTTCCTTCCATCACTAGTAGGTGATAGGGTAGGTAGAGAGCTGTCAATACAGTCAATGTTTGATGAAATCATGCGTGAAAAACATTTCTGCTCAGAGTCCTGAATACTCATCGCTCCTGTTCTTGCTGGCCCAAAATTGCTTTTTCTTATCTCAAAGCCTCAAAATTAAAAATTCTAAAACTTGTACCTAAACCATGGCTTTATTCCACCGTATTTCTGATCTACCCCAGTCCTACAACCTGTTATTCTGGCTCATTTACATTGAAAATCCCACGATAGACCATCCATGTCCCTATCTTCTTTACAGTTTGTTCAAAATCCAACTTTTTGATGATGTTTATGGTCATCCTCTTCTATTATGTCCTATTTTGGTTTTACCAATTTTTGTCCGATTAGACCCTTGCGTGGTGACAAAAATGAAACTTAAAAAAAAATCTCTTTTGATGTTCCTCACTTTGTTATAAATGAATTAAATGGTCAGAGATGTTACTTTTCATAGTGTTCTGCTGACAAAAGTCACAACGCTTCTCGATTTTATGAATGATTTTTATTAAGAAATCAGCTACTATTGTTCCACAATACGCTCGTTTTAAAATTTGAGTCCTCACAGAAAGGGGACAATTGCATTTCAACTTTTGATCATTCTCTCTTCTTTTTAAGGCCTCTTTAGAAACTGCACAGATTTGGGAACAGATCCTCAGAAACTAGACATTTTCGCCAGTTCACACACCTCACTGTCAAGTACATTACTCTAGTTAGCTCATTGACCCTCAAAGCTTTTGGTAACAATGCTCTAAAACTAGTCGCCAGATAGTGCCAAGTGTGGCCGCAGATAAATTCCCCACCCTCCCCTTCCTGTTACCTTGATACGCTTGGGATACTATTTGGTGCCTTCCTATGAAACTCTCCTGCACTGGGAACTGGCACAGGTCCATGTTTCGCTCTAGTATGCTACAACACACTATGTGATTAACAAGAGTGCTGCTGAATTAATTTAAAAATATACACTTATTATGGATTTATGATAATTTCCATAATTGCATTGTATTCTGCAGACGGAATATGTGAAGATGGGGCATTTCAGCAGATGAACTATAAATTAGAATGAGTTCAAAAAAATAGGAAGAGAATGTCTGCTCATGGACAGATGTAGATCTTTATAGAAAAATGAAAGTAATTATATTTTGAAAGTTTGGAATAAAAACAAAAATCAAAATTACAAGATTTCAAATGAAATTGAGAACAAAAGTATCCAATAAATGGGCCTATAAACGGTGAAAGCTCCAGAGATCAGGATAGATCATTAAGTTGGAATACTGATGTAACAGCAATTGGGAAACTGGTTTGCAGGTGTTTTTAACCAATTGGATGGGAGAAAGGTTACAATTTTAAAGAAAAGAGGGTGGTGGTGGAGGGTTGCTTTTCAGACTGGAGGCCTGTGACCAGTGGTGTGCTGCAAGGATCAGTGCTGGGTCCACTGCTTTTCATCATTTATATAAATGATTTGATGTGAACATAGGAGGTATAGTTAGTAAGTCTACACATGACACCAAAATTGGTGGTGTTGCGGACAGTCAAGGAGTTTACCTCAGCGTAAAACGGCACCTTGATCAGATGAGTCGGTGAGCCAAGGAGTAGCAGACAGAGTTTAATTTAGATAAATGTGAGGTGCCGCATTTTGGCAAGGCAAATCAGGGCAAGACTTATACATTTAGTGGCAAGGTCCTGGGTGTGTTGCTGAACAAAGAGACCTTGGAGTGCAGGCTCATAGTTCCATGAAAGTGCAGTTGCAGTATTTGGTACACTTCCCTTTATTGGTCATTGCACTGAATATAGGAGTTGGGAGGTCATGTTGGGTCCGTACAGGACATTGGTTTGGTGACTTCTGGAATACTATATTCAATTCTGGTCTCCCTGCTTTAGGCAAGATATCATGAAATTTAAAATGGTTCAGAAAAGATTTACAAGTATGTTGCCAGTGTTGCAGGATTTGAGCTATAGGGAAAGGCTGAATAGGCTGGGACTATTTTCCCTGGCACATTGGGGGTTGAGGGGTGACCTTATAGAAGTTTGTAAAATATAAGGGACATGGATAGGGTGAACAACCAAGGTCTTTTCCCCAGGACAGAGGTGTTCAAAATTAGACAGCATAGGTTTGAGGTGTGAGGGGAAAGATTTAAAAAGGATCAAAGGGGCAACTTTATCATGCTTTGCGTGTGCGTGTATGGAATGAGCTGCCAGAGGAAGCAGTGGAGGCTGGTACAATTACAACATTTAAAAGGCATTTGGATTGGTACATGAATAGTAGGGTTTAGAGGGATATGGGTCAAATGTTGGCAAATAGGACAAGATTACTTTAAGATATCTGGTTGGCTTGGACGAATTGGACTGAAAGGTCTGTTTCCATGCCGTACAGCTCAATGACTCTATAACTAAGAACTCAAGCACTTCTATTAGCACCAGTAAAGTTCAGGGCAAACGTTAAAAAGTGTGTTCATGGGCTGTGGGTGTTGCCAGCAATTTTTCTCCATCTTTAACTGACCTGGAGTAGGTGTTGATAAGCTACCTTCTTGAACTGCTGTGGGTGGACAGAGTGAATAGATATACCCAAAGCGCTGTTAGGAAAGTAGTTCTAGGATTTTGACCCAGCGACAGTAAAGGAATAGCAATATTGTTCCAAGTGAGGATGACATGTGGCTTAGATGGGGTTTCGCAGGTAACACTGCCCCAATGTATCTGCTTCCCTGTCCTTCTAGTTGTACAGATCACAATATTGGAAGGTGTTATTGAAGGCACGTTAGTGTGTTGTTGTAGTGCATTTTGTAGAGTTGGTACAAACTGTTACCACTGTGTAGTGGTGGAGGGTCAGAATGTTCAAAGTGGTGGATGGTGTGCCATTCAAGCCGGCTGCCTTGTCCTGGGTGGTATCGAGATTGTTGAGTGTTATTGGTGCTAAGCTCATCCAGGCAAGTGTAAAGCATTCCAACTCAACCATGACTTGTGCCTTATTGATCATGGACAGGTTCTGGAGAGTCAGGACCTGAGTAATGTACTGCAGAATTCCTAGCCTCTAATATGCTCTTGTAGTCGAAGCATTTAAATGGTTGATCTGATTCAATTTCTGGACAATATCCCCAGGATATTGACAGTGCAGCATTTCAGTGATGTTGAATATCAAGAGGTGATACTTAGATTATCTGGTTAGAGATGTTTTTTCCTGCACCTGTTGCAAATGTTGTGTGCAAATTGATAGAAGTCTTCAAGATTACGAGTTATTATTATGGTAGGTTAAACAATGAAGAGAGATTTTTTTTATTTATTCATGGAACATATGCATTGGTGGCTAGGTCAGCATTTATCGCCCATTCCCAATTGCCCTTGAAAATGTAGGTGCCTTCACAAACTGCTGCAGTCCATTTGGGGCAGGTAAATAAAGGAAGTCTGTCACATATTGATAGTTATCCATTCCTGTAATGAACTGTTCACTTACCCGACTTCGGAGGTACTCTGCCAGGTTTTTGCGAGTGAAGTTGGCAGCTGCTGAAGGGGATAGTTCATAACCTGTAATGATGAAATAAAGATGAATGGTCTGTAACACATTTGATTTAGTGGTGCTACAATGTGCAATGTGTAAAACAAACGACACGTGAAACTACTTTTTTGATTGTAATTTTTGAAAAAAAAAAAAAAAAATATATATATATATATATGCACATAAATCTCCTGTGGCATTAGGCATGGTGAATCAAAGATGATATTTTTATAAGGAAAGCAATGTTATGCTATTGAATGTTATGCTATAATAAAAGGAGAAATGTACCCATTTAGCTCAGTTAGTAAAACACAACTGACAACTGCACTTGGATATTATCTCGGTTGAACGTTGCAAACAGTGTACAGATAAGGCTGGAATAGTAGCTGGATGGGATGTTAAACTCTACTTGTTCAGATGGATATAAAGACCTCATGACACTATTCTTAGCCAGTGTTCCTCCCAACATCGTGACAAAAGCGTGTTTTATTATACTGGAGTAATGGAACAATACTGGGACTGAAATCTATAAAGTATTTCAGGCCTCATCTGAATCAGATACTGAGCAGTATTTGCAGAACTGCATGTATGAAGAAACAAGTCATCCACACAGAGGTTACTACTTCACGAGTCTGGGTAGGAAGTTCACAATGCGGATAAAAGCAACACACCACAGATGCCAGAAATCTGAAACACACTCAGAAATGCTGGAGAAACTAAGCATCTGTGAAGAGAGATACAGAGTTAAAGTTTCTCTCTGAGGACTAGAAACATAACTCTCTTTCTCCACAGATGTTGCTAGTCCTGCTGAGCTTCTCCAACTTTGTTTGTTTCAGTTTACAATGTGGATGTACTCTGCAGTGTCAATATGTAATGCAACTTGAGATTTCCACAGGCTCCACTAAAGCTTCAACGAAAATGACTGGGTGCACTTGTTATTTTACTGAAATGCCATAAAACGATCACTGAACAGGTGTGGAAAAATGTTTTCGCTTGGTGGATGACATGGTACTCACAGAGAAAACAAAAACAAAACAATGCAGTTACTGTACATGGACGTTTCAGTTTTAATTCCATAAATTATTGGTG